AAGAAATGGCTGACTTTTACAAGGAATTTTTAAGTAAAAATTTTAAGAAACACATGATTTATAAGAGACTGGCACGGCCTAATTTTGCCATCACCTTCTTCATGGGGAGAATGGCCCTGGAGAGGATTTGGAACAAGCTTAGATTTAAACAAAAGAAGACCAGAGTCCACCTGACCCACCCACCTGGTGTCTGAGTGTCTATGAAAAGTGGCTGGTTTGGGAGCTCATTTTACGAGGGCTCTAAAAAGCTGTAAGTGGGGGCACCTGACTGGCTCAGTTGGTGAAGCATCTGCCTTCGGCTCAGGTCATGATCCTGGGGTCCTGGGATCGAGCCTCACATCGGGCTCCCTGCTCAGTGGGGAGTCTGTTTCTCCCTCTGACACAACCCCCTCTCATGTTCTGTCTCTCTCTCTCTCTCAAATAAATCAATAAAATCTTTTTAAAAAATAAAAATAAAAAGCTGTAAGTGATCTGTGAAAACCTCTAAGTCCTACACCTTCGTTATTCAGGCTCCTTTGCTTATGCCGGCACAGGGTGGGCTGGGAGAATGCTGGTCCTGGTGAGCCATGAGCCGTGTGACTCTGTCCTGACTGTGGGTTCCCAAGCTGGCTCTTGTTCCTGGTGGGACATTAAATAGAGTCCAAGTACTAAGAAAAAAATTCTTAAATGACATACAAAATATGGAAAAGCTCACAGGAAGGAAGACTTTTCTATCAAGATCCTAAAAAGGCTATCTTAACTGCAATTTGTGTACATGTAGAATTTGTGACTTTGCAGGGGGACTCTGAATTTGTCCAGTTTATAGCTGTATGTCCCTCAAACTAAGATAATGGAAATTTATTCTTATTTTGTCTAATGTAAAAAAATAGTTGTGTACATGTAGAATTAGAAGTACTTCAAAAGGTATGAGGAGAAACCTGCAGAAAGCACTAAATGACACAATTAATTCCTGCCCAGGCTAGCATGGATTTCCTTTCAGCTCATTCTGCCATTCCTTTTTTGCCCCTTTCATTTATATTTATTTTGCTAGTGCTGCAGCTTCTATACTAGTTCTTCAATCAGCAGTTTTAAAATAGGGTATGACATTGAATTTATCTTTTTTCCTTCTGACTTTTTCCGGTCCTGTTTCCTGAAACATCTCCATCCCCTACAGTGCCTAAGCTGTCACTGAAATGTGTTTCACAATATATAACACAGTACAGAAAAATAAGCACATTCTTTTTGGAGCTGAACCATAACCTCTTAAAATTAGCATTTTCCCCCGGTCTGCCCATTTGGACCAAATCTTCCTATTGATATCACATTATATTGAGAAAGCAGAAAAAGTTTCTATTCCTGGATTAAAATCCAGCCCTTCTATCTAAGGAATTCAAATAGAGACACACCCAATTCTTTATCTGATAACACTCCAGCTTCAGCCCTGGAAATCTTTACACAATTTTACTTATTTTTTTTTTCTTGGCTCTGGAAAGTTGAACTTTTTTAAGTATTATAATTTTCCAAAGACTTGTTGATATATTGGTGAAGTGCTTTGATCAGTAGATTCCCCTTGCTTGTTCTCTGGGCAGAAGCTGTCACTCTTCCACCTTTCATAGAAAGCAAACCACCCTTCTTCCTGCAGAATAGAGCATGTGGAAGTCGAAAGTATTTTTCATAAGAAAAGAAGCATTCAAAGCAATACTTCCCTAAGCCAAATGAAAAGCAGTTGTGGCTGAGAATCTGCAATGATGTCATGTAAATTTTATCTTGCATAAGCAGCAGAGTGAGGACATTCCAGAATTAATAAGTCTGCTGGTACAGCTGTGCCCTGAGTTGGAAAGTTCAGGATGTTCTTTTCATGCTCACGACTGGACATTTTGCTCCACATTAGCCTTTGCAAGAATAATTGGCTCCCTCCATTTCCAAGCGACTAAAACATTTATAAATGGATCTATTTAGAAAATGTAAAAGTTTAAATGGATTCAATAAATGGTCACTTAGATTCAAAATTATTGTTTATATTTGCCTTGATTCTGTAATGAGCGGTAATTAGTTATTTTTAATTATCAAGTGCCTTTGAATAGTGAGTTAAGAAATGGAAAATCCCAACTTTGAGAAATGATTGAAGGGAGTAGAGTTAAAAACCAAGAGTGGTCTTTTTAACTGTAGCTCTAGTTATTAATGTGGCTCTAGTTATTATCTAGAGAACAATTGGCCAGCTGATCATCAGGAAATTGGCTTACATAAAATAGGAGATATAATTTCATGATCTGGAAGTCTGTTGAACAGTATAATGGAAATTGAGAGAGTTCTGTCTAGTTTTGTAAAGTAGAAAATATTCTCCTTTAAAGGAATGGCTTTGGTGTATTATCTATGAAAATAGAAAACAAATTAATTACACTAGATGATTTCTTTCAACCTTATGGTTCTTAGTGTCATGCACTCCTTGCCTTTCGTTCCTCTTCTTTCCTCCTTTGCCTCTGCAGGGGAAAGAAAAGGAAGATGCACGATCCTGAGCAGAAATGAGCAAACTTAAACAGAGTTCGCTTTTGTGGTTCTCAAATTTCAAAATTAAACATGCATGTTGCTTGTTTTATTGAGTTCACGTTCAATATAGCCTGACAGCAGCCTTCTCTGATCATGAGTGCTTGAGTGACTTTGGAGGGGGACTCTGAATTTGTCCAGTTTATAGCTGTATTTCCCTCAAACTAAGATAATGGAGATTTATTCTTATTTTGTCTAACGTAAAAAAATAGCTTAAGGTTGAATTTTATTCTGAAAGAGAAGATAAACAATGCCAAGCATATATTTTAGAGCTAGACTTTACCAAGTTCTCCTCCTAGAATTAAGCAAATCACCTTAGTTCTCTAAGGCTCAATTTTCTTATATAACATTGAGATTATTTCTAATACATTCCTCACAGGATAATTATACAAATAAAATACTACAAATATATGTTAAGAAGCCTTTACCATACCATGAGTATGGTGCCTGGCATTTAATAGTCCATCAATGAAAATTCTTTTTATTCTTTTACTTTTTCTTTCTCCTTTATTCCATTTTTCATGTATACAAATATGACTGGAAAAGATATCACAGATTTTCTGCTGTTCTAAATAGACTCTCATATTTCTTCAGACTTGGAAAAATTTAGCTGTTTTTCAGGGTAATGGAAACCTATTCAAAATTCCTTTCAAATTCTCAATTGTGTAGCAACCAGAGTATGAAATTTTGGCATTTCTAAGGGTGTCAGACAGCTGAGCTAAATTAATACACACTTCCAGGAAAGGAAGAAATATAATAGTAAACAGAGAGTTATTCCATCATTTTCTATCCAATCTTAAAAAAAAAAAACTTAAGATTTTCCCTTTTTAAATACTCCTTTATGGTAGTTGCAGAGCGGGGAGTATTCTTTAGCTAGCATATTTAATCGCTGGGCCCCCTTTTGGTGGTTGACAGAATGGTGACATTGAGCATACAGTTTAATTACTTGGAGGTGCTTGAAATCATGCAATAAAATTTCAATTTAATGAGAAATGGAAACTCATTTCAAACTGCTAATAAAAACTAAATGATTTCTTCATAATACATAATAGAATATGACTAATTTTTATTTTTTTAAAACATTAAAAATGGACCAAAAAATGGCATGATGGGAGCCTTATATCTAGTTTATCACAGATGCCAATGTTATTATTTTAAAACAGATAAACACCAGAACTTAAATAAAACTAAGTTATCTTAAAGATATATTTTAAATTATACAAATTCTCTATAATTTCAGTATGTATTAGTACAATACTTTGATATTGCTACTTTCTAGAGATTGCATTTTGTCATTAGTAGTTTTTAAAAAAATTTCTCTGCTTACAAGACTAGAGGATGATTAAAACAACCACCAATTCCAACACTGCATACACAGATTCTTTTGTAAATATGTAATGTTGTTAGGTGGCATTTTCTTTACAATCCATTCTCCTTCCTAAACTTAGTCTGGTGCATAGTTTTCTATGACTGAGGCGTTCCTTCTCTGGAATAAACATCTATCACAGAACTCTCAACTGAATTGAAATGGAAAAAATTGATACTTATTTCTTACCAGCTCTATGCTATCTACTCCCTCTATCATATTTTAAGACAGATCTATAACTTTATATTAGTTTGAGCCTTGTATATCAATATGTTCACATATCTCATGATTGATGTGTGCTACCTTGCTTTCAGATGCTTTTGTACTCTTTCATTTCTTGTTTTTGTTTGCATTTTATAACATATACTCCCTAGTATTTAAGGACTAAGTAGACTTTAAAGTTTCAGTAAAAAAAAAAAAAAAAAAAAAAAAAAAGTGCTGCTAATTCAAATCGTACATCTTTCTCTCATGTATATATATATATATATATAGAAAGAGAGAGAGAGAGAGATTTAGACATATTCAAGCATATATTTTATTTGTTATTACTCCTCTAAAAGTGCATACATAAAGTCAAACCTAATCAATGCACAGCTTTGAGATTTATGGAGCTTGAATTCCAAGTACACCCTGGCCTTTAAGACAAGTATGATGTTCGTTGAGTCATTGTCTCTCTGTCTGCTTGACTTAATACTAAATGAATATAGTAACCCAACTGAACTTTGGAGAATGTCATCTGGAATAGTTACCTAGTGATTCAAAGCCGATCAAAAAATACAAGCAGTTTAGATTCTAAGAATGACTAATGAAAAGTCTTTATCCATACATGCTATTTTATCCTGGTCACCAGAAAGGAACCCTTTCCAACCCTTTTCTCCATCAATAATGTTTGTATATTGGCTTCCATAGCTTTCATCCCTTAAAGAAAACTCCAAATGAGTCTAAATATCTTGCACTGCACTTTAATTCTAGATTCCACTTGAAAAACTTATTAAAAATAGCTATTAAAAAATAGCTCATATTAAAGGAAAAGAAGATGAAACCTTTTGTTGTCAGTTACTCTTCTGGACTTTCTCGGTGAAAAGCCTGGATTGTTTAGACCAGGTGAAAACAAAATTATGAATAAAGACAAGCGAGTCGAAAGTTTTTAAAACAAGATTTCAAATTGTTTATTAGTGTTTGATCTGAGATTGAATTTAAATGTGATAAAAGGAAAATTGCTAAATTGCTATTAAATTATTGCTACTAATGAAGAATGTAAGTGGCTTTGCCAGTAAGTAGAATAATAAAACAGCAACATTTATGTTTAGAGGTTTTGTGGCAAATACAACTTTCTTTTCATAGGTCTTCTGTTTCTGGTACAGTGGTATCCTCTGTAGGCTCAGTTGTTATCACTATAGGAATATTCTCAGATATCCATCCCTTTGGAGTCCTATTAAAGGACCGTCTGCCAGAAAGAGGATTGGCAAAAACTGTAAACCTGGGATCTGTTAGAAGTAGTAGCTCAAAATCTGGAACCTTGAATTTAACCATTTTTGATGCTTTTTCAAAACCTCCAAATGGGGTGGCAACTCTGTGGGAAGTGAAAAGAAAAAGAATATGTTTATTAATTTTCAAATTTACTTGCCAGAAAATAGAAAACAATTTAATTAATGATTCTATGGGCATGTTGTTATAGTATATTCTTAGTACAATTTTCAGTTTTTGATCTTTGAGGCAAGCATTTTTATTTAAGGACTATGCTTTTATGATAAAACAGAAAAGAAGAAGTCCAACTTCTTATCTTGGCATTCAAGGCCCCACATAACATTCCAGCTTTCTTTGATTTAGCCATTAATTAATTTATTTATTCAGCACCAGACATTTCTAAGTGTTAGGGATGGAACAGTGAACAATGGAGTCAAAGTTTGAGCTCTTATATTCTTTTTTTTTAAGAGTGATAAAGCATGCATGCATGGGGTGGAGGGAAGGGCAGAAGGAGAGGGAGAGAATAAGCAGACTCTACACTGATGTGGGGCTGGATCTCACAACCCTGAGATCATGACGTGAGCTGAAATCAACAGTCAGATGCCTAGCCAACTGAGCCACCCAGGCGCCCCAAGCTCTTATACTTCACTGAAGAAGACAGACAATAAAAAAATAAACATATAGACAAAACATCCGATAGTAATGAGAACTATGCAGAAAATTAAAATCGTATAATTTACTAGGGCATAAATGAATGACTAGCTAGTCAGGGAAGACTTCTCTGAAGAGGTGACATTTAAACAATCATCTGATGGTAAGAAGTTAGCCATGGGCAGTACAGCTGAAACACATCAACATTTTAGGCATAGGGAGTAGGTAATGCAAAGAATCTAAGGAAGAGATAGTGTTGATATGTTCAGGGAAAGAAAGAAGGCCTATGTTGGTAGAGAAGTAGGTAAAAGTTGATAGAAGAGAGGACAGAGAGGTGGATTGTATGGGACTTTGTCCAAGTAAGGAAGATGAATTTCATTCTAAGTGCGAAGGGCAACACTGTAAAATGTTCAGCAGGGGAGTAGTGTAATCTGATTAAATTTTTGGAAAGGTTACTCTGGCTGCTGTTACTCTGTGAATAGATTATAAGAGGACAAGAGTGGAAGGAGAAGATATTGTGGCAATTCAAGTGAGAAATGATGGTGGCTTGGATTTCAGGTGTTTTCCATGAAGATGGAAAGAAGTAGGTGGTTTCAGGATGGGTTTTGGGAGTAGAGTCAACAGGATTTTCTGGTAGAATTGATAAAAATTGTCAAAGAAATATAGAAATCAAGGATTAGTTGTACATTTAGAGTTTTAGCAACTGGCTGGTGGAAGACAGAAAGGAACAGGTTTGGTGTGTGGGTGGAAAATGATTTTGACATCCCAGTGGACAGGTCAATCATTTGTTTGCCCTGTTCTCTTTTTATGCCTCCTTCATTCCAGCCAAAATGAATGCACAGCTTACTCTTCTCCTTTATGCTCTCCTACCTTTAGTCATACTCTTTTTTTCTCTGTTGGAGTACTCTGACATTTACTACTACATTTCTAAGTCTCTTTTAGGTTATAACTTTAAGTTCTAATTTGCACTTCCAAATCACCTTTAAGTTCTTTAAGGTCTAAGTATGTTATTTAAGTAACATATGTAGCTTTCTTCTTGAAGATTTCCTTAATCTCCCACAGTCAGAAGTAGCTCTTTCTCCTCTAAGTTTCCATGGCCTCTATTTTTACCTTCCCTGTTAACCCCATTTCCTATCTTCCATTACATTCATTGATATATCTGCCTTATTATTTATTTATTTATTTATTTATTTATTTATTTATTTATTTAGCCAAACTGTACTCCAAGAGGACTGGAATTCTCTCTGACATATCTTTGTAACTCATCACAATATATTTGTATAATGCATTGTACCTAGAAGATCCTCATACACATTTGGACAATGGAACTGGGAAGACTATAGGGACTGTCCAATATTGTGGAGATTATTTTAAAGCCAAGAAGAGATCTGATTTTCTTTGTAGCTCAGCCACTCTGTGATCTTCCATGAATATCTTAATTTTTGTGTGACAATAGTGAGAGACCACGGAGTCTGATTAAGTAAGGAGACAGTGACTGATGGACTTTGAAATATGGGATGGCTTTGACATGTGGAGCTGAAGTATTATTGAATAAAAGTTGAAAGGTAAAGATACAATGTGATGGGGGTGTGCTTGAAATTGAGATTTTTGAAGGCAACACAGGTATTGGTAATGACAAACTTTAAGAAAAGCCAAGAGTGCATGTATTGCATGGAGCACTGGGTGTTATACGCAAACAATGAATCATGGAACACTACATCAAAAACTAATGATGTACTGCACGGTAATTAACATAACATAATAAAAAAAAAAGAAAAAAGAAAGAAGAAAAAAAAAAAGCCAAGAGTCGTTGAGGTGGGATTGAGAAAGCAGTCCTTAAAATGAGACAGTCAAAGACTTGAAAGGGTGGAGAGTTCAGTAAATCATATGTGGATAGTGAAGCTACCAAGAAGTATGACAGGAATAGTCCTGGGGAGGAAGACAGGGAGCCAGACACTAAAATCCTCAGCGAAGGGAACATCCACAGAGTAGATGGAAGATCTCAACAATGGCTGAACAGATGGTACATGGTGTCACATGGTATAGAATCTCTGTCTTGTTTCCCATAATTTTCTTGTCTTCCTCTAATTTGCTCCTCTCTGAAGAACAGTATGTTTTATTTTCTATTGCATCTGTTTTCAGGATAACTGACCTGATGATATTTCCACCAAATTGCTGTGGAAGATATGGATAATAACAAGTCACTGATTGGTACAGTAACCTCAGTCCAAGGTAGTACTTAGCAATCATATCAGTAAAGGCTTTCACACCCAGGGCCTAAAACTATTACTCTGGAGGTAAAAGAGATCAGTTTAGAAAAGAAATTGAAGAACTTAGATTCTCATTTCAGGTCCTTTATGATTATTAAACTTCAGAAGGCATAGTAATGATTAAAGCTATTATTTATTGACTAAGTACTAATATAACAGACCTCTTTTTTACATGCTTCTCAAACTTTATTGGTAGAGGAGTCACACTGGGGTCTTGTTAAAGAGCAAACACTAATTCAGTCAGTCTAGTGTGTGTCCTGAGATTCCACATTTCTAACCAGTTCCCAGGTAATGCCAGTACTACTGGTCTGTGGATCATACTTTGTGTACGAAGGTTTTATATGATTTTTTTCATTAAATCCTCACAACCTTATAAACTGGTTCTACTTATATCCCTATTTAATAGATGAAGTAGGGACAGAGCTAAGTTGAATGACTTGCCCAAAGTCACCCAGCTATTAAGTTGTAGAAGAACCAGGATTTAAACCCAGTCAGCCTGACTCATGGGAGGCCTGTTTTTCTAGTCACTACTCTATATCACACCCCCACAAGATAATTTTTGGGGAATATGGGGCCTTATAAGATCACTTTCTAAGTAGAGCAGTGTGTTTAAGAATGTTAGCCTACTTGGGCTGTGTCTAAGGGATGTCAAACCAGGTTGCTACCCCATTCATGATGCAAATAGCTGATTCAATGTCCCACATTTTGTCATTTGATTTAGTGAATTGAAGAGCCTTTATGACTCAAAGTTGATTCAGTACATAAGTAAAACTTATCTTGGATGTCCAAGATGTCCAAGACAATATTTTATCATTTCAGAAGGTGGCCATTGGATATCAATAGTCATTTATTCACACAACAAATTACTGATGGCTTATTATGTCTAAACACCTTGCTATGTGCTAAGAATTCAAAGATGTAAAGATTGCAGTAGATCTTACAGACAAGTAAAGAGTGAAACATGAGGGAAAAAACAACACATCATTGAATAAGATAGTTGCTCCAAGGGAAGAGTGTCCTGCATGCAGAGAAGCTTAGGGTAAAAAACACCTTAGTCTGCCTGGTTGGTCAGTAACCACTTCCTAAGCTTGGAGCCTCGGATTAAGACCAGCTACATAATTTGTAGGCCCCAAATGAAAACTTGGGGCTCCTTGTTAAAAAATTGTTAAGAATTTCAAGGTAAAGACAGCAAAGCATTGAAAACCAAGCATAGCCCTTCAAAGCATGGGCACCCCATGCAATTGCACAAGCCTCACACCCACTCGTGGGAGCTCAAGAATATATGGTTATCCATTGGATACAAGAGGCTGGAGTTCAACATTTCTAGAGTTAGGCTGAATTTGGCCAGTTAACCTTGTACTTAGTAATTTCAAGAATGAATTTTACTCATTTATTTGTCCTAAATTAATTCAAAGAAGAAATGTTCTTCTGCCACTGACATATAATATTTGAGTTTGACATTTAGTGCATGACTTTTTACCATTTTATCCAGTTTGGTTTTGTTTTTCCCTCCCAATTTGTGGGTCATTTTCTTCTCTTCTAAATGGAAACATTCCCTTCCATTCCATCACCCATCTCCTACCTACTACTGATCCAGTGAAAGGTTGTTTTTTGAAAAGCAGAGTTTTCTTTTCCTTGGCACCATAGAGACTATATCCTGTTTGTTTGAATGTTTATTGCCCTCAGCACACAAAATAAAGTCCATTAACAGAGATGTTAAACATTCAAAGTGAAAGATTATCTGTAAGATTCTTCAGATCTCTGAAAACAGTGTCAAGTGTTACTCAAAGTTAGTGAAGCAAAAATTTCTACTAAAAGATTTGGAATATTCTATTAAAAGATAACTGTGCATCTCTATAATTCCCATAACATAAATTCTTCAAACATAGGTCTGACTTAAAATGATTTTTACACCTGTTATCTATGTAGTAAGAAGTGTGTTTCACTCAGATTTGAAATTAATAGATGCTTTCCTGATTATATAGATTGATCAGTAATGGGATTGCATTTTTTAAAACTAATAGTGCTGGACATATAATGTGCCCATAATAATTACTGATTATTCTATAAGGTGAAGAATTATGTAAAATGGTTATATGGAAATTAAAATAAATTATTCTACTAAGTAGATAATGTATGTAATACATTTAAAGGGACTTATATAATCATAGATATATACAGATGA